GTGCATAAATTATGTGATTATGTCGAATAAATATCACACTGAGCTTATTTTGATTTGGTCCAACCCAAATCCCAATTGCGATTTGGGTCGACCCGATTTCGAATTGGGTCAGGTTGCGATTTGGGTTAGAACATTTATATTATATTATATACAGTGTTAAATTTATTTTTATTTTAGAATATACTATACATACAAAATATATTTACGTTTACTTTTACTTATTAAATTAATATAACATTAACTTTACTTTACTGCTCATCGACGATATATTTTTTTGTCAGGGGAGTAGCGTTTATATAATGTAACTACCCAATTTTTATTAACCAATTGTAAAAAAAAATGAACTTTTTTTTTTATTTTAGAATATATATATGAAATTTGTTTCTATAGAAAAAAAAAAGACCATACTGATACATCTATATAGATCATTCGATTAATAAAAATAAAGACAATTAATTGTTATTAACATTGCTAATTTTATACCGAGCCATGTCACAACAACTTCAATAAACAAAGATTAATTAGTAAATAAATATAATTTATTGTAAAAAATCGCGTTTGTTAAAACATGGCTATTATTAGTACTAGGAATAAAAAATTGTAGCAATAGTTGAGTAAATCGTACATCGCGCAATCGCTAATTTATTCTTAGATGTAATCTTACCAACAAATGAGTTCAAAATAAGATTTACGTGAGAAATTGTTATTGACGTAAAATTTAAGTAAACTTCCCAACTTGTAAACACCAAAGTAATATTTATGTGGAAATTTTTTATTGATAATAAACTTAAATAGATAGTTTATTATAATATTTAAAAATAACCATTAAATATCATTTGTGTGGAAAATTGTTATTGACAATAATAAATAAATTTATGTAATAATATAACTGATGTACAATTGGTTATTCGTAATAATAAATAAGACTAAAGAGAGCTATTAACGATTTGATATAAAAAGACCCAGAACGTGCTTTACTCTCAGAGCAATTCAGCTACTGAACACCCTTTTTTTCCTGAATAACACACACAAAGGAACATAAATACAAAAACTTACTTCTTATCTCAAAATCGAGTTTTAAAGCAAAAACAAAAATTACCAAAAATGATTGCATCCTTATCTGACATAGTTTATATTGCTTTCGTAAAATCTGAACCCGTAAATGAAAAAATTATTCAAAAGGGAAAGCTATTTCGAAATTAGACAATACTGGAAATTTCCAAACGTTTCAATTTTGCCAATATTTACCAATAAGTGATACCAATTCCGATGATTCTGATTCCGACGATAACGGTGAACCTCTTCAAGAACTCAAGCAAGATTATGTTTATCATATAACTGGAAAATTTGCGCTGGTGGAAAACGACATCATAGACATCATAATAACAACGAGCAAACGTTTAAAATTAGACGCGGATGCCATTTCGGTCGGTCAACCAATCATACATTTACTTGGTAGAACTATGCAGCTTCCTAGTATTAACGAAACAGGATATACACTTCCCATTCAAGTTAAACCGTATCTGAGCAGTGCACAACGCGGACCTTTTGACATAACGTTAACCCACAATCCCCAAGGAAGATTTAGAAATGCTTTAGAAAAGACGAAAAAAATATTCGCTCATACATACAACGGGACATTTATACTTTGTTATTAGTCAGCCGTACTGTGAAATTTTAGAATTTTACTTCATCAACACAAAGATCGAAAATAATTCTACAACTTCGGTTCCGTGGAGAATCGAAAAGCAGGATAATAATACTAACAAACCGAAGGCGACAAATTCCATACGAAAAAAGATTGCCGCTTTAAAATCGTCTTCAACAAAAGGTTCTCGATCACAGACATCTCCCGCCAGGACAAGAAAACCAGCAGTTTCCCCCAAAAACAACAAAAATCAATGTGCTAAAACGCTGCTTGCAACAAAAAATCCATCTTGTACAGTTGATAATATCGACGTTGTGAGTGAAGAGCCGGAAGAATACAAAGATAAAAAAGCGACGGAATGCACAATCGATACCGATTCTTGTGATGACAACAATCGTCGTGACAACGATGAAATCCAAGAAATTGCTTCTTCCAACTCGGAAAATGAAGTATTAAACAAGAATAAAACTAACAAACGTACTACAAGAAGGGTCAATAATAGAGCAAGCGTCAATAAACGAAGAAAAGTTGAAGTTTTTCCACGTCTTACATTTTATTATTAATTAAGAAACACTTATATTAAACTTCTTGCGTATATATATACATGTAAGATCGCTATAATTAGGCTAGCCATACATAATGAGCGATTACTTTAAGTTGGAACTGTTTCAACCAATACAAATCGATTTTTCAAAACATAAACAGTCAACTCTGTTTATACCGAACGGGTTCTCCGGATTCGGTATATGGAAAGTTTATAAGAGACTCCGGTATAAACAAAGAATTTTCATATGAAACGAACGGTGCGCAAGAATCTATCCGTGAGATTCCGGTATATACATTTCCGGGATAAACAGAGTTGACTGTATTCACTATTTCCATAAAAGCAGAAAATTTGTCATTTCCGGGGAAATGTTTAAATTTTGTTCATATAAAAATTCGAGGACAAGGAAAATGTTTTGACTGTGTTTTCGTGTCCAACTTAATTTTACAACGAACGAAAGTTCATCCCGTTACCAAAAATGGCGCGCGGTATTGAAAACACCCTTAGAACTTCGGAAAAGTTTGAGCTGGAGGATAATGATGCTAGCCCGTTCATGAAAAAAAAACCCCCCCCCGATATAGAAGCAATTGTTTCAGAAGTCAATAGATCTAATATATGGTCATATTCAGTGATTGATGAGATTGGACAATCATTAGGAAATGTATATTGTTGGTCGTTAGAGATAGTGACATACGATAATAATACATGAATTGTCTTATCTAAAATTATATAAATTATCTATTTGCCTTGACAGTACAGTGATTATTTCTCCGTTTCAATGAACATAATTTACAAATTGCCAGGCGACTATGAAATATTGGTTGATAGATTATGGATTGATATCACAACAAGCAACTTATTTGTGTTGAAAAACAACGTCTTACAAACTCAGGATGGCAAAAATATCATGGTACGCGATCCAGAAAGTCTCATGAAAGGCCTTTATGTAGATTGTACCAAATTTGCGTGCTTATCGGAAAGAGAGAAAGCAGGCTTTGTCTTATGGGCACTTACGCGTCGTAATGAAAATAAAATTTATCTAGTAAACAAACACTTCGGGAGATACGGTGTCAGTTTACTGACGATAGGCATGCATTTTCTTTTTCCGCAAGATTTTGATTCACCAGTGACAGTGACTGGAATGCAACAATTTATTGCAATACAACGAATATCCAAGCATGCCTCAATTACATTTAAACAGTAACTGCAATTACAATAATTACATAACATTTTAAAAAGAATTTTACTGGTTTATTATTATGTGGTGTATTCAAATCTACAATAAATTTTTTTAGCTGTTGATTGTCTATGGTGTTTGTCGGATCATAGTAAAATTTGCCCGCAAAATTTGTATAAAAGAATATGGTTTGATTGCTTGCACTATGTCTTATCAGCGCCCACAAAGCAAACAGCTACGGATGTAATTGTTGAGATTTGCGTATGAAATGACGTATGGCAAACGTATTGTTCTTATTATGTTTAACTAAATGTTAATATTAATACGAATTAGAATTCGGTAATAATACTAATACTAAATGTTGTATGTCTATTCCGAATGGACATGAAGGTAACAACATTATAAAATTATTTTATTAACATTACAGTATTAACTCTACTGCATATAAACATGTTATGATACGCAGAACAACGTACCTAATTAACATTACTGCATTGATGATTATGAGGGTAGCAGTTTAAGTTACAAATGAAGCTTGAGTTACTAAAAACGTTAGTGAGATAAACGTGGCTCGGCCCATCATTGTGAAAATATGCTTTGAGTTGCAGAATACGTTAGCGATATTCCTTCTATTTGTGCGGAGATGTAAGTAAATATCACCTGACTGACATTATCATTGTGAAAGAATGCTTTGAGCTACTGTATACGTTAGTGAAATTTTCCAATTCGGAGGATGATATTCAAGACTTAACCCTTAAGGTGTGTGACACAAACATCTACCAGCTAACTTGTCAACCAAATTTGGGCCAGATCGTGTGAAAATTAACAAATCTGCGCTTTTCGATTTACTACCAACCCTTGTAGAGGATTTGGTTTAAGCGATAAACAGAATGGTAGAACAGCAATGTACTGTTCACTATCGCCATTGTTATTATGCATTATTTATTGCTTGATGAGTTGAGTTATCAAACAAGTTTGTGTTAATCATACAATTTGACGACTGGTGTATGGTTTTGCCGAAGGATTCAACCATACGACTTGTGGTTTCTGTCTGTATGTGCACAATTTGTCGAATAATTTGATTGTCAATATACGGCTTACGAATCAACGTTTAGAATTTGTCTATACGTACGCTTTATCAAACTTTTCAATTACACCTCATTGAATGAACCGTTCTGTGAGTAGTTGAGAACAATTAGCAGAATTCACATCATTTTTCCTAATCTTCGGCATTGGCATAGAATTGTGCAGTTTTTTGTGAGAATAAACGTTATTTTGATCACATGTGTTATACGAGTCTTCTTGTGACAGTGATACATACAATGTCTTCCAAATAAACGTTCTGAATTTTCAATGTTTTACGTATGTAAATGCGGGTTTGGGGATTTGACAGAGTT